CATCTGACATGGTCAACGCTGGGTGAGGACTAATGACGATGTATTCGGTTTTATCTTCATTTAAATGAAGAAGATTTTGAGCCAGCCAGACTTTAACATCATCTATGCAATTCTGCAATGCCAAAGGCAATGAACAGTAAAAAACTGGCCAACAACTGCTACAAAAGAATGTACACTAAGGAAGATCCGACAGGGCTGAAGAAATTTGCCACCATAATAATTAGTTTATGTAAATATGTGAAGAGTAAAGAGGGAAATTTTCTGTTTAAACCAATAAACTGCAGTCTTCAGCACTCACTGAATGACTGGACAGGCTGTGTGTTTGTGTGTGTGTGTGCTGTCATGGTTGGGGATTGTACAATGAGTGGGTATGTTCCATCAGCTGTTGTTCACTCCCTGAAGAAAAAGCCAATGAGGAGGAGGCAACAGAATAACTCTCTAATCCTCTGGAAACTCACATTACTGTCATGACAGCAGAATAGCTCCCAGGTCTTGGGCTTAATTTTCCATGTTTAGAGTGTTGCATGGATACAAAGTGTATGAATTTATAGTTTTTAAATTTAGTGTCAAATATTTGTTTTGTTTGCTTAATAGAGAGAGTATAAAGACAGGTTTTCAAGGGTGTCCTTGCAAAAGAGAGAGAGAGCTCTCATTTGACTACCCTGTATAAATAAAGGTTGAATGAACTGTCATCTTAGAAAATTACTTGCATAACAAATATTTTCAGTAAATATTTCTTGAATATTCTACATATTAAATGCATTTGGGTACAACTTATTTCTATTTCTGTTAGAACTGAAATAATAATTTAACCGATTAATCAATCCACAGAAAATCTATTGCTAAGTATTTTCATTAATGATTAATCACTTATGAAGCAATGGAGCGTTTCCCGTATCTCTCCGTTTTGTATAATAGAAAACTGAACACTTAACTTTTGGACTGCTGGTTGGACAATCAAGACAATCAGCTGCCCTTAATACGAATAGTAGGTTTAAGTGAAACAGTTCCTTTTGTGTTACAGCCTCACTAATACTTTGGAGTTCAGTCAGAGATTAAGGTCAAAGTCATATCAAACTAACCTAATCACTAACAGGGAGAGAGATAGCTATCATGAGGCGGAGTTATTTAGCAATTTCCCATTGCCTAAGAACACAAGCATTCTCGGAAAATTGGATTAAAAGGGCAACATTATCTTAGTTTAACAAATTAATTAAAAGATATCCCTGTTGCAGGACCGTGAGTTCAAATACAATTTGCTTGAATTTGCATAACTAAGGCGAGTACTCAAATACATACCGAGGACTCCGGCGGCCTGCTCCAGAACTCTTTCCAGCTTCTGCTTGCTCCTGCCCGCTATGGCCCACTTCAGGTTCCCATTTGGACCCTCGGACACGGTCCTGGCCACCTCCTCCACCACAAACTGTCCGGTGAACCCAGAGGCTCCGAAGATAACCAGGTGATACGGCCTGCTGGAGGATGTTTCAACACGCGCCATAGTGACAACGGACAAACTGGGTAGCTCAATACGACACCTTCACCTCCTCGCCCTGATACAGCTAGTGATGTCACGTTCCGTATCGAGGCTTCGAAGCGTGTGCCGAGTAGGGGAGGGGGCGTTTCCACGATGCGCGTATCGAGGCTTGCGTCATTTAGGCCAGCAAATTTATCAAAAGTTTATTTTGCAGCAATTACGTTAGCTAGACAACATCCTATAGTTTTCTATTGGTTGTTGCCCTAGTCGCCTGCTGGTGACGACATTCAGATGCGCCTGCAGCAGCAAGAAAGTTACGAAAATATCGAGCGTAGGGTCAATGTGCTTATAGAATTCAATGTCACAGAGTTTTACCAGCGACCAGAAAGCCAGTTTCAGTTTTAGAGCAATGCTGTCGTAAGATTCGAATACAACGGATATTCTATAATAAGGTAAGCATGCGTTTCTTCCAATGAAATGATTATTGTATGCATGTCATGCAATAGCTTTGAGTGACGTTAGCACGCGGCTAGCCAGTCGGCTAACAGTTATATCAGTCTCATCAAACTGTTAACCACCTTTTATGTAACAAAGTCTGACCTGTATGTTGTGCCTTTTTAGTCGATGATCAAAGTATTTTGATTTTACCGGTGAAAGAAAGTGACTAGATCAAAAGTCAAATGTTAGAGAAGTTTGCTTCCCCACGTGCTAGCAGATTTAACGTTACAGAGATCTTTGTATTTAATCTTAAATAGATATTAAAAGGCGATTATTATAAATGTGGGCTATTTTAGAATATTTAAACAAAACATTTAAAGATTGGCAACAGAAAGTATTCGTAGATTCTAGAAATCGAACGAAATATTATTTCAAGTGTCCATG